TACCTATGAACAGGGCTCAGCTGTAGTCACATGACCTCTCTACTTATAAACAGTGCTCAGCTGTAGTCACATGACCTCTCTACTTATAAACAGGGCTCAGCTGTAGTCACATGATCTCTTTACTTACAGGGACGGCCTCATACAGAAGGAAGTCTTCATGTTGAACAGATGATTGTCTTAGATGCTCCTATAGGTGACAACTGTAATAGAAATGTTGTGTTTCTAATATAATAAAACCTGCTGTTGAACATTGAAAATGTTATTGGCAGTTAAGAAATATGGAACCACCTAATCTTTTAGAAATAGTATGCGGTAAACCAACATTGTTATCTAATTGATGCAATGAAATGAATAAATCTGCCTCTCTAAAGTGAGTCCTTCTTTGTGCAGTGGTGTGTTCTTCACAATGAAATGATTAGTATCCTCATTAACAGAATAAACACACAAACACACACGAGCCTTCACCAGGTTCAACTTTATTAAGTTACACACAACACAAGGTCTGACAGAAACATGTGGAGCTGGACGCTCCTCTCCCTCTGCTAACACTGACTTCACACTGAGTGTTTGCTGCAGACCAACACTTGTAGACGAAGGAGGGAGGGAAACAGCGCCGTCTTGGATTTGTGGGGCCTTTGTCTGAGTGCTTCACTGCAGGGAACTAAAGGAAGGACTCACACAGCGAGTGGGGGAGGAGGACAGGGCTTGTGCTTGATGCTGGTCCAAACAGCTGGTAGAGTACAGTAACACAGGTCACCTCACATGTCTTAACACAAACACAGTAACACACAACATCAGCCTATCACTGGTGGGAGACATTCTGTTTCTCTTTTAAAGGAGCACAGCCGTCTTCCTCAGACCTAACGGTGATATAATGGTGACATAATGCAGCGCTGAAATCATATCAGGCTGGATGATGTATGCAAAACTGAAATTCTCACCCACACAATCTTTGAAAGACTGGTGTTCTCCTTCAAAATGCCAGCAGTTCAGTGTGAAGAGGGGGACATTATAAAAGGGGTGTGTGCGTGTTGACAGGCATCGCGGGTGTATTCAGATGTCCTTGAGGTCCTTCTGGATGCCCCACAGCGTGTCGGCGCTCTTCCTCAGCTGGCCCACCTCGCCGTCTGTCAGGGTCATGTTGACCACGCTGCTCACGCCGGTGCTGTTCAGCACGCAGGGCAGAGACAGGAAGACCTCCTCACCAATACCAAACATGTCCTGAGACACACACACACACACAGAGTGAGGGGAGGAGGCGTAGAGGACACACACACACACACACACACACACACACAGTGAGGGGAGGAGGCGTAGAGAACACACACACACACAGTGAGGGGAGGAGGCGTAGAGGACACACACACAGAGTGAGGGGAGGAGGCGTAGAGAACACACACACACACACACAGAGTGAGGGGAGGAGGCGTAGAGAACACACACACACACACACAGAGTGAGGGGAGGAGGCGTAGAGAACACACACACACTCAGTATATATGCATCCTTGTGCCTCTCTCTAAAAAGGTTGTGCTCATGTCCTCAGAGGACGAAAATGTCCATCTCAAAATGCGCCATAAAATGACATATTCATATTATGTTCGACTTTCACTGAGTTAAATGTTCATAACTACCAAATATTCATGATTTGAACCCTTTTCTTTCATTTCTTTCATAATGCCAGTGTTTTTAATGAAACATTGCATTATGTTGTGTGTACTAAATGCTCGGGGGAGATGGGAGTGATCTGCATTAAACACATAAGAGCAGCGACAGAGTGGACGCCAGGAGAGGAGCATGTGTGACTGGATCTACACTGAAACAAACTTTGTGCTTTTATTGGGTTTCTGTGGACATTTGTGTCCTTAAGGATCTGAGTGTCTGTATTTTAGCTGCACCGTTTATTATAGACTCATTATAGCAGATGAGGTGCAACTTCAAAAATACAGAAAATGTCAAATGCCAAAATGTATGACATCTGCATTAACATAGACAAAATGATTAAACAATAAATGGAAATAAAAGAGCCATTACGTGATGCACAAGGGTTACAGAGACAGTATTAACTGAATGGTTTAATGTTTTGGGAAATACTTATTACATCATATTACAACTTAATACTTATTAGCTTTTATTTTCTGAGTGAAATGGGAAGATGGATATCAGTCTCAGGACGTGATTAGCCCTGAAGTATACAGAACATATACATAAATATGAATATCAATGTAAATATAAATATAAATATAAATATGAATATCAATGTAAATATAAATATAAATATAAATATAAATATCAATGTAAATATAAATGTAAATATAAATATAAATATAAATATAAATATCAATGTAAATATAAATATAAATATAAATATAAATATCAATGTAAATATAAATATCAATATAAATATCAATATAAATATAAATATCAATGTAAATATACTGTAAATATAAACATAAACATAAATATGAATACCAATGTAAATATAAATATAAATACAAACATAAATATATAGACTAATCATACTACGGAAGTCAAGTTGAGCTAAGAGGGATTCAGTTGTTAAGCCTATGAGTAGGAATGGCAGAGAAGCACGGATGAAGGTTGTGATCGTTTGATAGAAGTCCAAAAAAGAACCATGTGACCTTGGCCTCCATAAGAAGAATGACTTTATTTAGGCTATGGCTTGTGTGTAAGACTAGATTACCATCCAGGCCCTGGGGTCCTGAAAACCCCATATTCATTGTTTAAACATTAATTGCAAATGAAGCACCACTAAGGCACAACATCAGCTGAAATGATTTGAAAATCGAGGCATCATTACCTAAAATGTGCATAACTTGTTACAAACAGCAGGTCAGTGGTGGCTGGTAGCTCATTGTTTCCCTGCGGCACTGTAGAGAGTGAGTGTGTGTGTGTGTGTGTGTGTGTCAGACCTTGACCATGGTGGAGACCGGATGGACCCGGCTCATGTTCTTGACGATGCTCTCAGTCAGGTCTGCCACGCTCAGACCGATGGCCCAGTTAGTGTAGCCCTTCAGCTTGATCACCTCGTAGGCGCTGCGACACAAACAGCCACAGGACACTTCACATCCATACAGCACGTGGACAGCGTGCGTGTGTTCACAACAATTCACATATATCTACATATATTTACCAGCAACCACCCAGAACACCATCGCAACTCTATGATCTGACCCTGACCCTGTAGAACCTGACCCCAAGAGATGTGAAATCCATTTCACAGTGATGTGACATGTGCACAAATAAAGCTTCCCGTTATATCATCAAAGATATATGTCATTTAATATATTCTCATAAGCCTATTCTGCAATGCAAGAAATTACATCATTGTGTCATTTATCAGCATATTTAGCATCAGTTACCAAAGGTTAATATCAGGTTGTTGAATAATCAATGTATTATGCCATCTTAGGCTCTGGAGGTAAAAGGTGGTTTAAGCTGATTGCTGTTGGCTGTACAATGAATGACTTAATGTAGTGAGTGAGGCTGCTGTAACACGGGCCCCCTGGGGCCACTCCAACTAACACTGTAATGGCCTCAGAGAACAGAAGCACTCCCACTGACAGACCTGTTTAATAATGACACAGACGATAGCAGCTATCAGCCCACTTAATCTGCTGTTTAGGCTCCATACAGCAGCAGGAGGCTGAGACGGGACAGACTGGACTCATGTGAGGAAGCAAAGTGACCTACAGGACGGCCATGCTTCTTCTTACGGAGAGGAAGTGGATCGTCTTCTGTCAGTGGTGTCACAGATGCTAAACAGGAAGTGACATCAGGCCTTTGGCTCCAAGTAAATATCTATCTATGGTATGCCATCTCATTCATTATTAAATGACAAATATGGTTATGAAATAAATATATGAATAAATGAGGAAATAAATAAATGTAAATATAAATGAGTTGTTATAATTCAATAAAGAAAGAAAGAAAAAGGTTTAAAGTGCGTCTATTCATATGAGTGTTTCTCTCACAGATTCACACTAAAGCACAAGAAATAGATCTAACCAGCTACCTTCTCTCTAACCGCCAATTTATTGATCTATTTAACGATAATGACTCATATACATTAATATATGACAGGATGTATTTCAAAGACTCGTTTATTCATCTAACATTGAATGAACTGGTATTCCATAATGAGTCCAGTCTACTGGATGTTTGCTGTTCTCTGTCACACACACTCAGTCAAACAGACAGCCCTACCTGTCCACTACAGCCTTGTGTGTGGCCGTCCACTGCTCCTTATCACCATCAGTGCCAATATCAGGGTTCAGGCTCTGCAGGTTGACTCCTGCCACGTTAGCTCCACTCCACACCGGCACTGAAAGACCAGCACAACAGTTATTACGGTGCTGTGTGTGACTCTCAAGTCAAGTGACATTCAGGTTTTCAGTGGCACTGCCCTGATGGTGATAATGGAGAGTGTACCCACCGCTGGTGTCTCCATGCTCTCCCAGCACCCAGCCGTTGAAGGAGCTGGCGTGGATGCCAAGGCGTTCGGCCATCAGGTAGCGGAAGCGGGCCGAGTCCAGGTTGGTGCCGCTGCCGATGACGCGGTGCTTGGGCAGACCGCTAAGCTTCCAGGTCACATATGTCAACACGTCCACTGTGGAGGGTGTGTTACAACCAGCGGCTATTGATAGCATTTATAGTTGATAATGATGAAATGTGTGTTCTCTCATACTCACCAGGGTTGGAGACCACGATGATAGTGCAGTTGGGGCTGTACTTGACGATCTGGGGGACAATGGCCTTGAAGACGTTGACGTTCCTCTGCACCAGGTTAAGGCGGCTCTCACCCTCCTGCTGGCGAACGCCGGCCGTCACCACGACCAGGCGAGAGTTGGCTGTGACCGCGTAGTCTGGAGGAAGAGGAGAGAAAGGGAAACAACATGTGATGTCTGGAGACCTTTCTCTGGTGTGCGTGCAGCCGGTCCTGACCTTTGTCAGCCACTATCTTGGAGGTCTTGAGGAAGAGGCTGCCATGCTGCAGGTCCATCATCTCTCCCTTCAGACGATCCTCCATCACATCCACCAGAGCCAGCTCGTCACACAGGTCCTGTCCAGAGCAGCGGCATCATGGAGGAGAGACGGACACTACTTCACAATGGAATACTCTCATGTGCGTCTGCAGGGTTTTCATCTTTCAATTAGAATTCAGATGTGATGATGCTTTTATAACTTCAACGTTGTCATACATCAAACATCATGCGCAGAAATATGACGAATGGAATTTCTATTCAACAGAGATTCAGTTTCGTATGTCCACACATGAGCTCTTACACTCAAATCTAATCAAATGCTTTTATTAACACTATATATACACAGTATATATATATATACTGTGTATATATATATACACTATATACGTATATATATATATATACAGTATATATATATATATATATATATATATATATATATATATATATATATATACATATAGTGAAATAAATCATTAAAGATATACAAATATATACACATTATTTCTATCCAGAAGTCTGTTTCTCCTCACGATCCTATATGAACATAATTATGTGTTTATTAAATAATGGACAAAATGTGTAAACATAATGAAAATACTGTTTTTGATTCAATATCTGTTTTTCACATTCACACGCATTACTTATGGACGATATGTCTTTCTAATATGTTTTTCATATACTTAAGCATCCTATATCCTCATATTTGTATTATTATTTCTGCTATTATTATTGTTATTATTGTTATCATTATATTATATCCACTGCTACTATATTATTATTATTATTATGATTATAGCTGTTGAGTTGTCTCTGTCTGTCTGACATAAAAACATGTGTGTGTAAGATATGTGATACCATATGCTCCTCCCCTTGAGGTACAACTATTATAAAATACAGCTATAAATGATATAATATAGGTAGGAACAATATGATTTATCACCATGTCTCACACATCATGGAATGACATCTGCAGTTTTAGTTTCACATAATACTGATTGATCTTATTATGTGGGGTATTCTTACACCGGCACAGAGGAAACCTGGTCCCTTCATATTTTCATGGCATTTACTTCTTTATTTAATCAAAAATCTAATTCAGTTTAAAAAAAAACATTTTGAAATATATTTGTACACAGTATATGACATCTGACATCTATTTTGATATGTATTTTACACATATGGCAATGTATCAGATTTCTGTATTAGCTCTACAAACGTATACTCGTATATTTACAGGTACTCGTATATTTACAGGTAGTCGTATATTTACAGGTACTCGTATATTTACAGGTACTCGTATATTTACAGGTACTCATATATTTACAGGTACATCCATGAAATGTGACCTCTGCCTCTACCCCATGCTCAGCAGCAGGAGCAGTGGGCTGCTGTGAAGCTGGGAGCTGCGTGGGTTTCAGTGTCTTTCTCTGGGACACTTCCACATGCAGACAGGGACTACCGGCTGCACCCGCTGAGCCACAGCCGCCCACTGCTGTTGTGTCTTACCCGCAGCAGGATGCTGATGGCGCAGGCCATGCCCACCTGGCCCACCCCGACCACCGTCACCTTGTTCCTGGGAGGCTCAGCAGGGCTGCTGGCCAGAGGGGTGATGAGCTTCTGCAGCACTGAGGACATGATCACGGCTGTAGGGAGACACAGAGGAGACATGTCCTGGTGAGCAGGTCCCACAGTCACAATCTGCTTCAATGTGTCTCAACTAGTCCTTTAGGTTCATATACAGCCTCCAATACACAGCAGTGTGCCCAAATACTTTAGTGTATTACCACACAGGACACAGGAGCAACAAGGAAGCACATAGAGCTGACAACATCAGCACACGCTTAGAACATGTGATTGAACAGCAGGGTTGCAACTAATTATTTTCATCATCAGCCGTGAATCTGTGGAGCAATTCTCCAATGAATCAGTTAATGGCTACACAATGATCTATAGCAGAGGTCTTCAACAGGGGGTCCGCAACCCCTAGGGGGTCCTGCAGGGGGGTCGGAAATCTTTGGTTGATTAGACAATTCTTCATTTTTTTATTTTTTTTCCCAAATTTACATGTCTTTAAATCCACATTAACATGAATCCAACATATTGTAGCGGATGGATAAATGGAGGCAGAAGATGTTGTCTTTCAGTCAGAGATGCACACATTCAGGACCAGAGACATCATGAGAGACATCAGGACGAGAGACATCATGAGGAGAGACATCAGGACAAGACATCATGAGGAGAGACATCATGAGAGACATCATGACGAGAGACATCATGAGAGACAACATGAGGAGAGACATCATGAGAGACATCATGACGAGAGACATCATGAGAGACAACATGAGGAGAGACATCAGGACGAGGCATCATGAGGAGAGACATCATGAGAGACATCATGACGAGAGACATCATGAGACAACATGAGGAGAGACATCATGAGAGACATCATGAGAGACAACATGAGGAGAGACATCAGGGCGAGACACCATGAGAGACATCATGAGGAGAGACATCAGGGCGAGACACCATGAGAGACATCATGAGGAGAGACATCAGGGCGAGACACCATGAGAGACATCATGACGAGAGACATCATGAGAGACAACATGAGACATCAGGGCGAGAGACATCATGAGGAGAGACATCATGAAGAGAGACATCATGACGAGAGACATCATGAGAGACATCAGGGCGAGAGACATCATGAGGAGAGACATCAGGACGAGAGACATCATGAGAGACATCATGATGAGAGACATCATGAGAGACATCATGAGAGACATCATGAGGAGAGACATCATGACGAGAGACATCATGAGAGACATCAGGACGAGAGACATCATGAGAGACATCAGGGTGAGAGACATCATGAGGAGAGACATCAGGACGAGACATCATGAGGAGAGACATCATGACGAGAGACATCATGAGAGACATCAGGACGAGAGACATCATGAGAGACATCAGGGCGAGAGACATCATGAGGAGAGACATCAGGACGAGAGACATCATGAGAGACATCAGGACGAGAGACATCATGAGAGACATCATGAGAGACATCAGGACGAGAGACATCATGAGAGACATCATGAGAGACATCAGGACGAGAGACATCATGAGAGACATCAGGGCGAGAGACATCAGGACGAGAGACATCCGGACTGTCACCGTCATCATCGTCTTCATGTTCACTGACATGCTAATCTGAACATACATGTGTTTCTTACCATGACCCGTATCATATCCATCCCTGCAGCATTGTCTATGTTTGTCGTATTATGATACAGAGGGTTAAAGTACCACCATGGTGGAATATGGAGTACTTCATGGACGTTTACATGTTCTCCCGGTGTCAGCGTGGGTTCGCTCTGGGTTCCCTCTGGGTTCTCCAGCTTCCTCCCACAGTCCAAAGACATGCAGCCTGTCCTAACTGAACTAAAATCAATTCACTGAGTTGATCTCATTGTGCACTGTTCAGCTGTCATGGGCAACACCAGCAGGCAGACGTCATGTCATACAGGACAAGTGAACACTTTATGGTGGGACAAAATGGGACACAGCGTACAACTTCAACTAGGACTTTCATCAACTTCTGGAAACATAAAAGACTGTGAAGTCCTATTTAATATAAGAGGGAAATCATACTAGTTGTTGTATAACACATCAGAATATCATCGGTACACAGAAAGAACAAAGCCCTGTGAGCTCATATACACATTAGGATTGGGGCTCATGTGGACAGCCTGCTTGTCATGCTGGTTGGTGTCCAGAAAAGGACACAACTCGTGGCTCTATGGGGCTGCCCACTTATTCAGGAGACAATAGAGCTGCTGAACCACTACATGCCTCATTGTAGCCTCCTAAAATTAATTACGGTTGACCAGCTTCATTGCGTGCAGCAGTGCATGTGTCCCACCAACACAGCCGTTAGAGGGGCAGCCTGTGGTTTAGGTCCTCTCTGTTATGACGTTATGTAACCACCAGGCCTCGGCCTCCATCTTCCTTGGCTTTGGTGACAGTGATGAGAGACTACTCAGTTTAAAACATGATGAATAAGAGTTGGTGAGTTCAGGTCCACTAGGAGGAGGTTTCCTGTGTGAGGGCAGAGCAGGTGCACAGCTGGGAGTCAAGTCCGCTGTGGAGGTGAATGCACCTCATCACTTTAGTGATGGAATGTGAACTCAGCCGAACATTTCTGATTGCATCACAGATTAATGAGCCTCTAGCTGCACGTGGGATGAAGTGTATCACAGGCTGAAATCAGCACAATTTCGCACGTAATTCAAAATCATTATTCATCATGTAGGCTAAACTGGCGCAGCGCATGAATGAAAGTAGCATTTAATTCAGTTTAAACTGAGACAATGTTTCTCTCTTTAACTTCGCATTCATTCAAGATGAGCTCGTGCAGCGACAGCATCCGTTGCTGCCGAGGCGTTCAGCGCGCATCACTGCGCCCGGAACATCCGCACAGTACTCACGTTTTAACAGTAGTTCTGCTGGCTGGGGTCCGCTATGTGGTCCGGTGCTGAGACGGTCCGGAGTCTAGCGGCTGGTAGAGATGGAGAGATGGCTAGTGGAGCTGAACGGGCTGCAGCGAGGAGGGGGGGGGCATAGTGTTCACGATGGGTTCACGTGTGAAGAGGGGTGCAGAGCATGACGCCGGTCTACGTCACGCCATGGAAAACGGGAATAGATGATAACTGTCAGACATTTTCTTGTTCTTTTTCTTCTTATTGACACTTTGACAACATTGTCCATGAACATCCATGCCAACAAAGCCTGTTGGTTTGAATTGAATGGCTTACATTACGTTCTCTCTGTCTCTAGACCTTTGTTTGGAGTTTCCTCTCCTCAGCAGCAATGATGCAGCTGTTACATCAGGTGAAGTCAGTGAGCTCAGTCCACAGGCTGTCCTCCTCTGTCCCCTTCATTCTCTGAAGTGTCTACATCCATAACTTCACTACATCTATCTATCAGCCACAGCTACTTTATAAATCATATTTGACTTAGATTAGTTCCATCCTGACCAGTAAGTATTCAAATATATAATATAATATAACACTGACAGCACAATGAACTGTTGATACTTGAAGTGCATTATTTTGCTGATGACACTGAAGGAACATGTTGAATTGAGGACTACATTGGTGGTATTGCTTATTAAGGATCTGGGTGTTTCAACCCATCACCAGACAGGTCATCAGTTCTCAGGTCTCAAGTAAACATCGGGTCTTTGCTCTAAAGAACCAAGTCACTGACAGGTCTCAAGTCCTAAAGTTTGGCTTTTTGAGACCTAAACCAGTAATAATGCGCTCTTGGTCAAATGTAAATCCATTTCTGACATTTTGGAACCACACGTTTGGTCTGCTACAACTGTTTTTTTGGTTACATTTTTCTAAGTGGTCACAAAACGTTAGGTCTTCATGCTTCTCTCCTGCAGCCTGATGCTGTCGGGATGGTTCAAACAAAGTGATCTGAGATATTAAGAGTTGACTTGCTGGGAATGAAGTGTCCAAGTCATGTGACTCAAGTCTACACCTCTGCGGTTATAAGACACGATTCAATCTTTCATCGGAAGCTTCTGATAGGCACTGTAAACTGGACAGGTCTATTTATCTGAGTGGACCCAGACAATAAACAATTGTAACCTCATTGTATTTGTATTTACTCAGTGTTGCTCTCTGTAGTGCAGAAACATGGGGCTGAACCCGTGACTAAAATGTGACCTACATTAGATCACATGATTAGATCTGGATTGGGGGGCACGGTGGTGGTCAGCACTTCCATCACTTTATATATCTTGGAACAAAATGTTACATTTTTACCTTTCACACAAGCTTAATATTTATTCCATTTGAATGTGAATGCATTGCATGTTAGAACACAGTAGAAATGGTGGCGCATACGTCCATGTGAGCACGCTGTTCTCTCCCCCCCCCCGCTGATGCTGCACATGTCACACATGATGATGACGGCGGTGGTGATACAGGCTGGCACCCAATAGGAAGCTGCAGTCCCTCTCTCTCCCTCCAACAGGGCGAGGAGGGTGATCCCTTAAAGGCGCCCACTCAGCTGAGTCGAGGGCCTTTGTGTGTGTGTGTGTGTGTGTGTTAGGGCTGTTAAGGTCGTTGCATGTGAAGAGTCAGGAGAGTGATGAAGGGATTAGATTGGCCAGTGGAAGAAGGCGGGGCTACAGGCTGTTACATAACAGAACACAAAGCAGCCTCACTCTCTCTGTCTTCATCACTAAACACTCAAAGGTTCACACGTCTCACAATACTCTGTATATCTACTTGTTTATAGTCCTGACATCTGTTCGTTTGTGCACTTTATTTTATATTTCATTTATTTTATATTTCATTTATTTTATATCTCTCTGCAAATTTTAATATGTTTCTACTTGCACTAATTGTTGTTGATTGTTAAATGTTTGCACCTCCCGTCACGCCAAATTCCTTGTATGTTCAACATACCATGGCAATAAACGGTTCTGATTCTGATTCTGATTCTGTATGAACAGTCCTCATGCTGTAGACTCAGGGATGAGCAAACAGACTGTCCTTCAGGCTCACGTACTGACACGTAGAGACTGAAGGCCGGTCCAAGAACACATTTCAACTACATCCTAAAACTCTGAAATGATATCTCGAAGCGTTAATGAAGACGAGCATCACATTGCTTGGGACCAGTGAAGACATGATGATGCTTCTGATGCCCGACATTTCATTTGTTCCTTTGTTCTTCATTTTTGATCTGAAATGTTCCCATTCTTCACTTGAATTATTTCATTGCCTTATGATTGGCCCAGTCCAGCATGTTGTATTCATAAGTGTATCCAAATAAACATTATTATTATTCAACTCAACCAAAGCTCGTCATGACCTTAGGTTGTGTTTCTTATGGTGCTCTGAGAAGTCAAGTTACTGCAAATTAAGACGACACATGCAAATAACAAAACACGAGCAACTTCCCCAATATGACAAAACATAAAAACACAGCTCTACATATCGAGAAAACACAAGCAGATACAGAAACATATTGCAATTACATAAACCTGCTGCAAATACAGAGACATGCTGCAGATACAGAAACATGCTGCAGATACAGAAACATGCTGCAGATACAG